AGGACGACACTTGCGGCTCTTGGGTTTGCGCCTTCTACTGCTGACCCGTCGCTGTTTCTGCGCACAGACACTTCACTGCCGCCGTTCTACATCCTCGTGTACGTCGACGACTTGGTTTTTGCCACTGCTGACACTGAGGCTCTCGCCCACGTGAAGTCGGAGCTACAGAAGAGACACACGTGCACTGACTTGGGTGAGCTGCGCAGCTACCTTGGCTTGCAGATCACCCGGGACAGAGCACGCCGCACCATCACCTTGACTCAGTCACACATGGTGCAGCAGGTCCTTCAGCGCTTCGGCTTCACCTGGTCTTCAGCACAGGCCACTCCTCTGGCTACAGGTCACACGCTCTCAGCTCCACCTTCGGACGAGTCCGTAGAGCCGAGTGGTCCTTACCCAGAGCTAGTCGGCTGCCTCATGTACCTGATGACTTGCACTCGACCTGACCTCGCGTACCCTCTTGGTCTCCTCGCTCGCTACGTGGCTCCTGGTCGACACCGACCTGAGCACATGGCTGCTGCTAAGAGGGTACTGCGCTACTTGTGCAGCACATCAGGCATGGGGCTAGTGCTTGGAGGGACGAGCCCAGTTGTCCTCACTGGGCACTCAGACGCTTCTTGGGTTGACGACCTGGCTACTCAGCGGTCGTCACAGGGTTACACCTTCAGCCTTGGCTCTGGTTCAGTTTCGTGGCGTTCTACACGCTCGTCTTCAGTTCTTGGCTCCAGTTGTGAGGCTGAGATCTACGCCACCGCCATGGCTGCACAGGAGTTACGCTGGCTCACCTACCTGCTGACTGACTTGGGAGAGCAGCCTCGTTCTCCTCCAGTGCTGTACGTTGACAACAAGGCCGCCATTGCCTTGTGTGAGGAGCACAGACTGGAACACAGAACGAAGCACATTGCTCTGCGTTACTTCCTGGCTCGAGAGTTGCAGCAGCGAGGCCAGCTTTGTCTTCGTTACGTGGCCACTCGGGCCAACACTGCTGATATATTCACCAAGGCACTTCCGTCTGGTGATCATCAGCGCTTTTGTACTCTGTTAGGCCTTGTGCCTATGCTTCCACACTTGCTGTAGTCTTTGCTTGTACTGTGATCTATATACCTATATACCTGCATGCTGGCTCTTGCTAGGTAGCTCGACACTGTACTGTCATTGCTGCATATATATCTCTGCATGTGAACTGGCCTTGTGGCCATTTGCTTGTGCTCAGAATGTGTGGTGACGTTGTGATCCACCCTGAGCTTGTTTTGTTTCTCTTGACTGGTCTTGTGACCCATTGCTCTCCCCCACTTTGCCTATGGGGGTGTGTCAAATGATATATATAGGTGATACATATTGGTAGGCTGTAGTGGGGTAGATGTTATAGGGGATAACCCCTTAGGGTTTTCCTACTTGTAAAATTTCTCTCGATAGTCAACTCACCTTGCCTAGCTATCTCAACATTTGCTTGTGCTCAGAATGTGTGGTGACGTTGTGATCCACCCTGAGCTTGTTTTGTTTCTCTTGACTGGTCTTGTGACCCATTGCTCTCCCCCACTTTGCCTATGGGGGTGTGTCAAATGATATATATATGTGATACATATTGGTAGGCTGTAGTGGGGTAGATGTTATAGGGGATAACCCCTTAGGGTTTTCCTACTTGTAAAATTTCTCTCGATAGTCAACTCACCTTGCCTAGCTATCTCAACATCTGTACCCCTTAAGGCTAGCCCCAATATAGCCTAGATACTAACATGCATATGTTTTGACAGGGAGGGGCTGTGGGCAGTTTGGAGGGGCTATAGGCGGCTGGAGCTTCTGGAGGCGGATAGCGCTGCTGCTGCTGCTGCTGGCTGAGCGCAAAGCAGCCGTGCGCCGCTGCGTGAGGGGCTGCTGTGCTTGCGCTGGCCACATGCGGGATGGGTACGGTGCGCGCACGGACTGCAAACAGTTGTGCGTGTGTGTGCGGCTGTGCATGCGCATACGGCTGCGTGTTCGCGTGCAGGTGTGCATGTGCGCCCCTGCGGAAAGGAGGCCTTCGGGCGCGGCGAAATGAGGCCTAAGCACAAAATAATGATGCCCGTGTGGGTCTTTAGCTAGGCGCAACTAAAATGGAGCGGGGGAGGAGTGGGGAGGGGGAGGGGGAAGGGGGGGGGGGAGAGAGGGGGGTTGGTGGTTGGGGGGGCTACCCCAAGGCGACGAATTGTACCCTAAGGGAGTGGTTACTTAGCTTAAAACGTGGGAGGGAGCGGAAGCGTGGGAAAGGAATCACCTTCTCTAATACTGCATCAAGAGATTTGTGTGATTGACTATAGGGGAAGGTTACAAGTAGGAGTGTCGAATTGTGAGCATCTATTCCATTCTTTTTTTTTCATTCTATTCTATTTCAGTCATTTTTTATTTGGCTTATGTAAATTGCATTGTAGAATCTTCAAGATACAATAGCAGATCTAAACACGCTCGCTGTAGATATGCTGAAATGCGAACTTATTCGGAAGCTCCCCGAAGCTGATAAGCGGTTAGGTTCGGGACAGGCTTCACTCGCTACCCCTGGCCCGCACTTATTAGAGACGTCCTTACCACACCCACGTGTAACCTGCAGCCTTAGCAGCTGCCTCGGCTTGCTGAGCAGCGAGCGTGGCGTTGTACGCACGAGAAGCCATAAGATTCGCCGCCGAGTCCGCGCTGTTCTTATTACTCACAGCCTTGCTGTATAAGATCTTCGCGTTGCTCACATTCGCGGACTTCGCAGGAATGGACGCATTCGCGTAGCTCACGTCGGCCTGCGCCTGAATCACCGCAGCCTTGGCATCCTCATACGCCGCAGCGGTCTCGTCCAGCTCAAACTTAGCGTCATCGATCACGCGCTGTTGCGCAGAAATTTCCTCCTGAACGCTCGCTGGGTCCTCCAGAGCTTTCTGCTTCTTAGCGAGAATAACCGTCACCCGCTCCGCCTGTTTGGTCATATCTGCCAGAAGTGCCTCCGCTTCGGCCTTTTGCGCTTTCGCCGACTCCAGATCATCCTGCGCGTCAGTCAGATCTGCGCCCGTGAGGCTCGGATCGGCAGCCCTCCGAGCCGCCTTGTAGACGTCGAATTTAAAGCTGGCGATAGCGGCCGTCTGGTCATCAATGATTTTTGCCGCCATGGCAACCCGTCGCTTCGCGTCCGACACAGCCTGCTTCAGCGCCGTCACGTTGCTGCTCTCCGCCACCATTTTATCGAGCCGCGCCTGCTGCTCCTCCGTGATTCCCTGCAGCGACTGAATTTTCGCGGCTGTCTCGTTCGCCGCCGCGATCTTGCCAGCGAGGACGAGCTTGAGACGGTTGACCAGCGGCACCGCGTCGCTATACGCGGCGATGGCGGCGGCGAGAGTGGCGTTTGCCGCGAGCAGCTCCTGCGCCCTCTGCGCCGCGGTCGCGTTGGCCTTGAGCGAGTCGTTGGTACAGTTGGCGGCAAACGCGCGCGCGGTACGAGCTTTGGTCACGAGGAACGGTTCCGTCTGCGCCGTGGAGTGGTTGACGGACGACAGGAGGCACGCGGCGACGGTCGCGAGGACCAGCAGGAGAGCCTTACGAGACGCCATGATTCGACAGTAGCCACGAGACGTTGCTGACTTCGCGTGGCTGATGATTTACAAGTCCTGAAGGATTGGTAGTAGAAAAATGGGTACTGGTAGTGGTTGAAGTGCTCTTGTTGCTTGTGATTTTCGAATGACGACTTCTGGGATTATCTACTCGCCGGACGAGAGGTAAGGCCAAGCAAGCATGTTTCTCAGAGTTCCTGAAGAGTGGGGTGGGAACCGATCTGGCGGAGTGGCGGAGTGGGGATGCGCGGGGATGCGCGATCTGCGTAGGACAGTACGGCGGTAGCTTGGCGTCTCATATTGCCGCGTCGCGCTCATCTTGCGAGACCTCTGGGCCATGTCGCGCACTGCTGAGTTTAGCAGATAAGTGCGGCGGATGGTGGATTGGCCTTGTAAGGAAGCTAAAGGAGAGACTTGTACCCATCTGGTGACGGACCGTTTTGCCCCCAGTCGCGTTGCCCCGCCCACCAGAACGCTCCTCATTTCCCCCAGTCGAGAGCGGAGAGGTGAAACAAGGCTTCCGCCTGGACCGATAGGTTCGAAATGATATCTGTCGGGAAGGATCCTAACCTACCGCTGCGTGACTACGCAGGCACAACTGGGTTCTGTGGAGTTAGCAACATCTAGTTTACAATGGCGATTTGAGAAAATCTGGGCTGGAGACAAGGGAAAACAGAGGTGCTAGTCTTGCGATTAGAGGTTCTGGCTACCCTGTGGTGGCAGTGGCGAATTTTCGCCCAAGCAAGCGAGTATGGAAGGTGGTCGAAAGTGTGGTACAATATGGTACAGCGGATAACCCTTGAGATTAGGCCCACCACCAAGCCTCGATCCGAGAAACGTGGGGAAAACGACTTGGTGACTGGTGTCCAAACGTACATGCTCACCTGTTGCATTTGCCCGGGCCGTCGAACACGGGCAACGGCCCTTCATGTACAGTCACATCTGTACGGTAGATCGTAGCCGTAGATCGAATTGCTTATCACGCTGTCACCGTCCCTCCGCCAGATATTTTGAAACCCCTACATGGTACACGTGATGCGCGTTATAGTCCCCCAACCTTGCCTTGTGCTATGGGCTTATAAGCGTTTTCTGCTTTTCGGTGAGTTCGTGAGTTAAGCCACGGTCATCAGGGGCGTTTAAATGGCACAGATTGTAACACCATTGTCTTTACATTGAACAGTGTGGTGTTGCATGCGTTGGCCTGCATGCGCTGACATGGTTACCACTTTTATCGCCCCTTACTTTTGAAAACGATTACATTTGACATCCCGCCTTGTCACAAACACAACATCGAAACATCCACCAGTGAAACATCGACACCTATACCCCCCAACAATCCCCCGTCAGCATACGCATCAAATGCAAATGAGCACAAGTCGTACGCATGTTGCAGAAGAGGGAACATTAAATCCTCTAAGGGGTACAATTCCCCATTCACAGCCTCATCCACTCGGCTGCGGCCAGGTAGCCGCTCATCACAGCGGGAGCACCGGCGTTGATCAGCTCCTGGCGGCGGGCCGACAGCGCCACCCAGTCAGGGGTGGGCACAGTCATCCACGCCGGCAGCACCCGACCACGGCGACGAGGAGTCTCAGGCGGCGGGGTGTCTGCGTGAGTGAGAGCAGGGGGCGGAGCTGAGTTGAGATCGAGAGGCGGGCTTGCGCGCTCCATCCGCTCAATGATAATGGGGTTGCGGATGTCGAAAAGCGCGCAAAGGTCGCGCGGAGTGATGCACGTCGCCCTCGCGTAGCCAATCAACATCTCACACGCCGCTCGCGCCGTGCGCCGTGCCTCGCGGGACGCGGGGTTGCTGTCGTCGTAAACAGCCTGCATGTTAGCAGGCGCCTCCCACATCTCAGAAGTGGCTGCAGTCGCCGGCTCCCTCGCAAGCGGGTCCTCGCCCGGCTCGGCGCAAGTGGGCTGGTTGTCGTCGATGCCGACGAAATCGCCAGCTGCCATGGCGCCAGGGCTCTCGCTAGGATTCTGGCCTGTCTGATAGTATGTGTTCAAAAAAAAAAAAATCGTCTTACGCTCAGATTGGCGTTTTTTGTTTGTCTGACTGCTAAGATGAAACCTTAATACTAGTCTGGAAAACCAAATGAACTATTCTACGTGGCCTACACTGCACTACAGCAGCTAATCCTACAAACTGCAAAATGAAATCTAAGTATCATTACACCACTCTACGCTTAAGTCAGACTCACTGCCACTATCATCATCACTGGAGCTGTCTAGGCTATCAGACGGCACTGGAATAGGGTTGTTACTATTCCCCTTGCGACTGAGCCAGGGGAACTCTGCATCCAGCCTGGCTGCTTCTGCTACTGCTGCTGCTTCTCGTGCTGCTGCCTCTGCCCCTGCCACAGCAGCTGCTGCTGCTGCTGCTGCTGCCTCTGCTGCTGCTGCGGATCTTTTTTTATTGCGCTTGTTCTCCCTCTCCACTCCCGCCAAGAGCACATCCTTTGCAGGCCTCCTCTTCTTGGATTTGTGCCACCGAGCCACCAACTCGGGCCACTCCATGTCGTAGCTCAAAAGAGACACGGTCATCAGCTCACCAAGCTTGGAGTCGCACAGATTCCCCCTGAGCCAGCTCTTGATCACGTTTTGCCGCGAGAACCCGCGTTCGCACTCCACAGTGCTCAGCGGGAGCACGGCAACGGCGATCCACAGGCGGACAATGTTGGGATAGCTCGTTGTCCAGTCCGGTGAGCTCAGCATGTGCTTCAGGCCTTCCGCAAAGCCAACATCCTCTTGGTGGGTGCTCATGTTTGTCGCGAAGGTGTAGAGCTCTCGCTGTGCCTTAGCCCAGTCCACGCCTGTACGAATGGGCGGGTGATATAGGAAGACAGAAACGCTAACAGTGAGAACATATGTTAAATGACGCCGATTATCAACCAAATAAACCTCATGATCGCACAACAAGACGCCTAACACACCTGGGAGAGTGTCCGGATCGTCGGGATGCTTTTTGTACATGTCGCGCAAAGACTGCAGCCACTGCGCCAACCGCCGCTCGCGCTTTGCCTGGTTCTTCGGGTACTGGGACTTCTTGAACAGCTTCGCGCCATTGAGCGACGCGAGATCCTGCAGTCGATAGTCAAGCTGCTTAATCAGCTCAACAACGAAATCCCGCCCAAGCTTCAAGCAGGAGCTGAGGTCGCCTTTGCTATTCTGCCCCCACGATAGCCTCTTCGTGCAGCAAGTGGCGGTAAGTTGTTGGCGCTCCGGTTGAATCTGGGCCATCGACCTTCACCTCCCGGCACTCCCCCGAGGCATGTTTCGCCAGGAACGGCCCCAGCGCCGCACCGCCCTGCCCGAACGTCTCGTCGTTGCTGTCGAGGTAACGAGTCCGCAGCAGGAGTGTTATGTTGTGTACCGTCTGCAGCACATGGGTGACGTCAATCTACACAAGCATGAAGCAGATAGTAGTTAGAATGTGACCAAACAAAACGAGGGTGGTTTCTAGCGCAAACAATGACACGTACCTGTCGTTGCTGGAACTTCAGGTTGAGCAGGTTCAGCTCCTTCAACACATCGGCAAGCAAGTAGAGTAAGAAATGGAATTTGAAACTCGTGACTGTCGCATATATCTTGCTGTCGAATTCCTGCAAGACGATCACAACTGCAGGAAACACTGCGACGAGTCGCTGGATCGCGTTGCCTCGGGAAAGCCACCTCATGTCCTTGATCCCCTGCATCTCGAGATGCGTCTCGCAAATAACCTCTTGTAGCTCCTTGAACCGCGTGTGAACCACAAGGCGCCCGAGAATGTCGACCACAGACCGGACCGCCTTGTCCACAAACTGAAGGTCTGGGAACGCAGTTGCTGCATCTTTAGCTGCCAGTGCCTCTCTGCAAACAAAAGTAAACTGGAAACAAGTCAGTACACGATTAATACAAAAATCAATACACAACCTGGTTTAACTCGCCTGTGAGCGACACAGTGACACGAAACCAGATGAGGAACCTTCGACCGCAGGCGCGCGACCAGCCCGTTGTGCTGGCCAGTCATCACCGAAGCGCCGTCCGTGCTCATACCGCAAATGCGCTGCAGATCGATGCCCGTTGTCTCAAAATGCGTAAGCAGACCGGTCAGCAGCGAGGCGGCGTCACACTGCTCCACGGAGAGCAGGGTGTAGAACTCAGTGACTGGAAGGTTGTCGCGTAGGAAGGTAATGTAGACTATCATATGCTTCCCGCGCCTTCGGTCCGTGCTCTCATCCAGCTGAATCCCGAGAAAGGGGCTGGAGCGGATGTACTGCAGCTGACGGGACCGCAGGTATGCCACCAATGCCACGAGCTGAGCAAACCCGTACCTGAATCAAAAAACAACGAGAGTAGCCGTGAGCTTTGTGTAGCAGAAACACAAGCACGTGCGGGATACTAAGATATTACTCACTCGCTGTAGTACGTGCCGTTTTCCTTCAAGGGCATGTCAGGCGTGCCCTGCTCAGCCATGAATTGAACCAGAGCAACGAAAAGCACAATAGGGGCGTCAGATTTACAGATGAACAAAGCAATTGCCATTAATCGAGCAATTCGCCGGGCGTCGTCGTCCCCCTTGTCGAAGGCGACGATGGACTTCTGGCCTTTCTTCAGGCCATCACGTTGTTCCTTCTGCAGCATCGCCGCCTCGTGCTTCACGCTGAAATGATGCTTACGCATCGTCTGCTTCTGAATGTCGAGGCCGCCTTCTCCGTAGCGGTCGTACTTGTAGTGCGGGTCGCCAAACACCATACAGACGCTGCAGCGCATGCAAGGTCGCCCGTCCTTCGTCTCACTGATGAAGAGCCACGGGAAGTAGCGAAGCCACTGCTCCTTACACTTGAGCTGCAGCTCTTCCAGGGTCAGCGGCCGACGTCCTTTGTTTTTGCCCTTGTCCTCTGCTTCGTCATCGTCAGTGGCGGATTGACGAGTCGAGGGCGGGACCGTCTCCGATGGTGCGGGCAATGTTGGACCTGCGGGACGGGAAAATTTAAGTTTCCGCTGCTTGTACTTAGCTTTCAGTGAAGCCCTGTCAGGCAGCACAGGGTTAGCCCGTAGATTGCTGGTTGTTGCAACAGAAACTACGGGGCGGATGGATTCACGGCCAGATGCTGGTTTACTCGTCGGCGTGGGCGTGGTAGCCTTGGGCATGCCATCGTCAACAATTGCTTCGGCCACATTGTCTGGTGAGGCGTTGTCAGCTGGTATAACCTGGGTTGAGCACGAGGCAACGGGGGGTGCAACGACGGGGATGGACTTGCCCCGTGTGAGAAAATCTAGTGCTGAGACTCCAGGGGGGTCTTTCTCCCCTGGAATGGCCATAAGAGTGTATTGTGAATGTGGAAAACTGCACTGCGGAGCCAGTCGAGTGCAGCGGAAGAAAAGGATGTAGAAGATGGAGGGTGTGCCCCCAACCTGGTCCCTTCCACCCAGGTCTCGTAGCGCGACAGAGTGATACGCGATGCGGTGTGTGGGCGGGGAACGACAGTTACGTGCATCCGTGATGCATACAGGTCACAAAATGACAGTGTCGGTGCTTTGGTGTGGCTGGCATCGGCGCCGACACCCACGCAGCGACAAAGTGCTGGCAGCATCTGACGTAATTAACAGCAGCCAGCGGTGCTGTTTTCTCCAGCGCGGACGCTACGGGGCAGAAACATTCATTACGCGTGCATGCTTACAGGCTGGCAGATACCCTAACTAGTGGCCCTATGGCCTAGTGGGCAAAAATGTCGGTTTCAGACGAAACCGTACTCGTTATCTGGATTCTCGGATGAAGAAGAGTTTCCGTTCTGAAATTTTATCTGAAGTAAACTCATTTGTCTTACTGATCATCTGGATAAAAAAGAAAAGTCTTACAGATCATCTGAAATAAGAAAATTAAGTCTGAAACGCAGACCATCAGACCAAATTGGTCTGCTAACGAGGCCCCTGCATGGCGCTCGTACCGAGAGCAAGTCCGTCAATGAGCAGGCCGACACCATTCACTTCGGCGTCGAGGCCGATGTCGGCCGCATTCCCCCCGTTGCCGCCAGCGCCGCCATTGTTGGCGTTGCCAGCTTGCACGTGCGGCAGGGACATGGCCCACACACTCGGAAGACATCCCGTGCGCCACCAGCAACGCTGGATGGCATGGAGTGGGATGTTCATCCACGCATCACTTAGCCACGCCAGTACGTCCCGCAAATTCGGGCGGTACCGCGCAGCTGCAGATGTTGCTCCGTCGGCGGACCACGTGCGGGTGAAGGCGCGGAGCCAATGCTGGCGGCACCGCGCTTTAGTCATGGAGATGAGCCCCTAGTCAAGGGGCTGGGTGAAGCAGGTCATATTCGGCGGCAGGTACACGAGGCGCACGTTCCCGAGAGCGCACGTGTGGAACCCGAACATATCTTCCGTCGTGGCGCCTTCGGTCTTGAGAGTGTGGCTGCTCGCGTTGTCGAGAAGCACAACAATCTTCCTTCCCTCGGCATACATAGCAGCGTCAAGCTGCTCGATGAAGTGGGTAAACAACTGCGCGTAGCGTTCGTGGGGTATAAAAAACAACACAGAGTAAACACACCGTTACTCACACCGAAGCACAATCCCCAACACACACACGCGCACGTGCGGACCACAACGGCACAAGGTAAACACACGGTTGGTCCTCACCGAGCTCGTCATCCAACCCTTGGCGTTGTGACGCCAGTAGCATAGCTCCTCGGGGTTGTAGTCGGGCCGGAAGTCGTGAGGCCTCTTCGACTTCGAGATCACCAACGGCCGAAAGCAGCGGGACCCGTCGGCGTTGACGAGAAAGCCCACGGTCAAACGCTGCTTGGCTATCTTCCGGCCCGCCGTTCGGATGCTGCCATGCGTCTTACACGGCAAGATAG